TGATACTCTGGACTGTTGAACAGGATTAGTTCTAAACCCCAAACTTTCAAGGCATTGCTTATAACCTGTTTAAAAAAAATAATAGCAACTTTTCACGAGCTAAACCATTCAATTTTAAATTTAAGTAGCATAGTCATGTTACTTATATAAGTAATTCCACTTCATATGTACATTTCTCTAAAAGGCTATGGTTTTTTAAAAAAAAGTGCATCTGCATAGAGATACTACTAAATCCACAAAACAAACACACACACACAATCACACACACATATTTTGTTTTTTTGTTTGTTTGTTTGTTTGTTTTGCGGGGGGTGGGGGAGAAGGGACAGGGCATTTGACCACTGAGCCACATCCCCAGCCCTTTTTTGTATTTTATTTAAAGACAGGGTCTCACTGAGTTGCTTAGCACCTCACTTTTTACTGAGGCTGGCTTTGAACTGGCAATCCTCCTGCCTCAGCCTCCCAAGCCACTGGGATTACAGGTGTGTACTACTGCACCTGGCACACATATGTATTTTTAAAAAGTGCTTTTTATAACCAGGTTCCTGAGATGTTCAAAAATCCAGATGTGTATTCCGTCATGTTGATGCTGTTCTTAAAACTAGTTCATGATATAGATCTGATAATCAGGCTGCTGTGGGCACTGCGTTTGAAAAGTTACAACCAACTCACCACGTGCAATGTCAATAATCACACATCTACTAAAATAAGTTCTTCTTGGGAATTTAGACTGAATTTCTTCCTGTGGTCATAAGTTTGTAATTTGTAGAACAAAAGACAAGTTGATTATTTCCAGCTGTTTGAGAAAAAGGGAAATCTCTAAAAATTCACTCTCTGGCCTCCAAGGTGGCCAATAAAGAAGCAAGTCATCCCGGTAGCAGCGCAAGCAAGCAGTGAGTGCAACGCAGTGGGCAGGTCAACAGTGAGGAAAGCAGTGCTGCTGCACAGGAAATGCCAGTGCTGGGCCATTCTTACTCTGTCCCCAGCCCAGCTGAGTGGCCCTCACCATTAAGAGCAAAACGAAGAAGCACTGCGTGAAAAAGCTGCTGAATGAGAAGTCCAGAGAGAGTAGCACAGGGGAATGGAAACCAAGATACTTGCAGAAGTAGGTTCCTCAGAGGACAGCCTCATACTACAGAAACAGGACACATTCACGGACAAAAGAATCTCAAATGTGCATAACAACCACAGGACTGAAAATGTAACTTGGTGACAGAATATGCACTTAGCATGTGAGTAAGTAAATAAATGGAGCAATAAAAAAAAATAGATCAAAAGCTACAGACCATAAAACTATAAGGCTAATTTAAAGGGAAGATAAGGCAGATGGGGGTGTGGCTCAGCAGTAGAGCACTTGCCTCCCACCTGTGAGGCACTGGATTAGATCCTCAGCACCACATAAAAGCAAATAAACGAAATAAAGATACTGTGTCCATGTATAACTAAAAAATATTTTTTAAATAAA